CTCAGGGGACATCACTGTGTTTCAAAAGTACCCAACCAGGGGAACCAGAGGGTGGGAGGGAGGAGGGGGGAAGAAGAGGATTTAGTGGCTGTTACTTTGGGGTTATGATGAAGCTAAGTGACCACTCTTGCTGTCACTTCCTCTAACTTCTGCTGGGCACTTGGGAAGAGGATGAGTGGGTCAAAAGAGCAGGCATGATTCATGAATGACCCCTCTCTGACTTTTCTTGTACACATAAAAAAGGAAGTAATTGTAGGAGAGGCATGGTGGACAGTGGGTTGCATTCCAGAAACTTAAAAATGAGGAGGATGAGCTGGGCTCGGTAGCTCAGCCTGTAATCCCGCGCCTTTGGGAGGCTGAGGTGAGTGGATTGCCTGAGCCCGTGGGTTCGAGACCCGCCTGGGTGGCAAGACCTCATCTCTACAATAAATCAAAAAAATCAGCTGGGCGTGGTAGCGCATGCCTGTAATTCCGGCTACTCAGAAGGCTGAGGCGGAAGGTTCACTGGAGCCCAGCAGGCGAGGCTGCGGTGGCCGGGAGCGGCCACTGCACTCCAGTCTGGGCGACCGAGTGAGACTCCAACTCAAAAAAAAAAAAAAAAAAAAATGAGGAGGATGATTGGCTCACACTTGTAATTCCAGCACCTTGGGAGGCCAAGGAGGGAGGATCACTAGAGCCCAGAAGTTTGAGACCAGCCTGGGCAACACAGCATGACCTTGTTTCTAAAATAAACAAACACACAGTGAGATAAAATAAATACAAAGAAAAAAAAAAGAGGAGGGTGGGGTGAAGGAACTCCCTACTGATGGTTGGCTTTGGTTGAAATTAAGAACTAGTTCTGAGTTCCTGCAGAGATAAGTTTGAAGTTAAAGCTACTTTGGTTAATCTTCCCTCCCCGTTGTTGTTCACTCTGTCACTGCAGCTTATCTTGTTTTTGGTTGCAATCTACTTGCCTTTATATTACCTTAGAATATCATTAGCCATCCCTTCCTTCGTACATTTTAAATATATTTGGTATTTGTCTGATGTGCCTGTGCTAGACACAGGAACTAAGCCCCAAGCAGCTGAGCAGAATCACCCTGAAGAGAGGTCAAGGTCAGAAGCGCTGATCTTCTCTGGCTCCCTGGTGCTAGGAGGATGCTGACATTTGGAAGAACACTGTGAGCTGTCCTAAGGGAGAAGGGGTTTTTCCTGAGAGTAGGGACACCTGGAGTTTGTGGGGGGAGACCAGCTTCCAGCAGTCAGGCTTGGCCTCTCTCCACTCCCATCAGGTGTGGCTCTGTTCTTCATGTGGCACCCCTTCAAAAATGAAAATTAAAAGGCATTTGGCCAGAAGTGAGGCCTATTTTAAAGTAGATATAGTTGAAAAGTTCAAAGTAAACATTCATTAATGAAATTTAGGAATTAGTTTGTCAGCAGTCTGTGGGTACAGTGGATTTTTTTTTCTTCAGGATTCCCGGGAATCAATAAATGACAAAGTTACCCTTGCAATAGTAACACCTCTCATTATACTTTTGCTTTTTTTTAGATGGGGCCTTACCCTGTTGTCCAGTGGAATGCAATGGTGTGATCATAGCTCACTGCAGCCTCGTCCTCCTGGGCTCAAGTGATCCTCTCATCTCAGCCTCCAGAGTAGCTAGGACTACCGACATGTAGCACCACACTGGCTAATTATTATAGAGATGGTCTTGCTATATTGCCCAGGCTAGTCTAGAACTCCTGGGCTCAAGAAACCCTCCTGCCTCAGCCTCCCAAAGTGCTGGGGTTACAGGCACCTGGCCTCTCAATTCTACTTCTAAATATATTATCTGTGTTTTAAAAGTATATATATATCTGAAAGCCTGGGTTAAGACTTAAACATTTTAAAAGACAAAAATCTTTAAAGTCATATAATTTAAAAAAATCTAGAACCTGGAACAGAGAGACTTCAAAGTATAGCAGGATTAGGCTTTATACTTTCTTGATAAAGATAAACACAAATCGAGCTTGTTAATTTTTTTAAACCTAATCCTGAAATGGAAAACTTTCTGTACATGTACCCTTTGCAAATGACCAACACTAACTAAACACTATGAAGGTCTACATAACAGTGAATGTGATTTTAACTTTACATAATTAAGCAGATTAAAATAAGATGTACACATGTCTACCAGCAAAACCACTGTTCTTTGGGTCATGGACAGAAGGCGAAGGTGAAAGCCAAGCTTATTTTCCCACCTGAGCCCTGAATTGAATGCCTTCGGCACTCTCCTTGCTTTCCTAGCATTTTTACTCCTTGAAAGCTGCCTTAATAATGCTGGAAACCAGATAAACCATTTGAGCCCCTTTGAGAGAGAGCCCTGCTCATAGCATCACCTGACCCTGTTTGCATACGAAGTAGGGGGCTTTGTATTTCTCTTTGGACATGTGGTAGTCAATGGGAAAACCAGGGACCAAGGGAGGGTGGGCCCAAAGAACTGCAGGCACCAGTACCTATTGGCTTTTGTCTAATTTGGTTAAATGAATTGTCACCATATTAACCTTTCTAGTGTATAAAGAGCAGACTGATGTATACTGTCCATCTCAAAGTATTGTTAGATTACAGCTGGACACAGTGGCTCACACCTGTAATTCTTGCACTCTGGGAGGCTAAGGCGGGAAGATTACTTGAGACCAGGAGTTTGAGATTAATCTGAGCAACATAGTGAGATCTCATCTCTACAGAATAAAAAAAAAAAAAAAAAAGAGTCAGGTGTGGTGGTAGTTCCGGCTACTTGGGAGGCAGGAAGATTGCCTGAGCCCAGGAGGTCAAGGCTGCAGTGTCATACCACTGCACTTATAGCCAGGGAAATAGAGTGAGACCCTGACTCAAAAAAAAAAAAAAAAAAAAGAGAAAGATTAGAATCTCTGTGGAGACAGTCATAAAGCTCATAGTGTTTTGTTTTGTTTCTATATAAAGGAAAAACTCATAACACTACAGTTTTAATTATACTGACAGTGATATGATTAATAAAACCAAATATTACTGAGCTACTGCTGTTACTCCCATTTTACAGATGGAAAGGTCTGAGACAAGAAGAGAAAGTACTAAAGTGGGGACCCACATTCAAGGCTTGACTTTGTCATCTTAGTTTGAGGGGGAAAGTTAAGGGGATATGTACTCTGTATTGAATATAACTGAGAATTCCTCAAACTATTTATAAGCACGCTGTCCTGCATTTGGGAGTATTAAAAATTCTTTTACTTTGGAATACTACAGGGAGAGAGAGAATGCCACTTAGGTCGTAAGAATCACAATTCCATTCAACCTTACCTTGAATCTTTGAAAGTATCAAGTGTCATAAAATTCCTGGGAAGGAAGAATTGTTAAACTTGTCATATTTTTTGTTTTGGGAGTCTGAGTCTCACTCTGTCACCCAGGAGTGCAGTGGCATGATCACAGTTCACGGCAGCTTTGACCTTCTGGGCTCAGGTAGTCCTTCCACCTCAGTCTCCTGAGAAGCTGGGACTACAGGCACACACCACCAAGTCTAGCTAATTTTTTGATTTTAAACAGAGAAGCTCTCCCTGTATTGCCCAGGATGGTCTTGAACTTCTGGGATCTACCAACCCTCCCACCTTGATCTCTCAAAGTGCTGGCCAAACTTGTCATATTGACGAGGATCAAGGCCCAAAGAGTATAAGTAGCTTGGCTCTGGTGATACAGCCAGAAAGCAACAGAACCAGTATGAGACTAGACTGGATAGTATCCAAAGACCACCATCTTTGCACTGCATCACACATTTCAGACATACCTATAACAATACACTTGTGAAGCAACGTGGTATATGTTTATGTACCGCATGTATATATGTAAAGTTAGAGATTACACCTGTGAGAAAAGGCCTCCTATTTTCTAGTTACAGCTTTGAAGGTACATCCCAGATATCATTAAGTGATTTTTTAATAGGCACCTGCATAATTCAAATGCTACGGCTTCCTATTGTTAAATGTATTTTAAGCTTACTGATTCTAGTAACAGCTGGAGACAAAGGGTAATGCTCACCTAAGTAAATGTCTTAACATCCAGACATCCTCACACGTATGTTCAGCAGAATTGGCTAATAAGCCTCCTAATGATACCCAAGAGTATTTCTTTTGATCACGTGCAGGAGTCCTCAGAACACTTCACACAGATGGCTTGCATGTAAGAGCTGCATTCTATTCCATCCAAGAGATCATTTCAGAATGGAAAATTCTTTCCCACATCTCCATCCTTATTAGGTAGTATGCACAAAATACATTTTGTCAAGGAGGACACCAGACTGTGGGCCAGTGTTTGATTCATTTGTGCTTTGGGTACAGATTACAGTCTAGGCAACTGGTTAGCAAGATTCAAGTTGTTAATGGGGCTGAGGGACATTCTAGTGAATTTCACTCAGGCATTTTTGCTTTTTAGATATGCTCTAGTACTGACTACAGATGACAGTTAAAGCTTTGCTGTGCTGTTCCTTCCATTCTCTCCCTTAGGAGGCACTCATAATGGGGAGCAAATGGGTTTAATGGAGGCCTCTAGAACTAAGATTAAGTAGTAGGAGCTACAGGGTAGCACAGCCTGTAGATTCCCACCCACACCGTGGCACAACAGGGCACTACCTAACGTGGTGGACCCATGACAGAAGGGCACTGCCTTTGATCTTTCTGTAGTACATCTGGTCATTTGAATTGCACTTCATTTTGCTGGAGATGGTAGTTTCTAGTGTATCAGCAAACTGATGACTGGCAGTTGGCCCAGATGGTAACTTCTGTCAAATCTATGATTTTAGGATGCTGTTGTTGAACTCAGGCATACTATCTAAATCTCAAATTCTCTATCACTCAATCAATTAAGCTATCCAGAATTTCTTCAGTCTAGAAACCTCATGGACGTAGGAATTCATTCACTCATTCAGCAAATACTTACTGAACCTCAACAATGAACAAGCACTGTTTTAGGAGCTAGAAACAGATAACATACACAAACAAACCAAATGATGCCATTATAGCTTGATATACTATTTATTTATTGTTATTAATATGAACAGTCTGTTATGCAACATTACAGATGTCTTTCAAAACCTATAATAAAATATAGTCCACTGTCCAGCCCAGGAGAAAATAATAAACAAGATCATTCTTACATTCTTACAGTAAGTAGTGTAAGCACTCACAACAGTTCCTTATTTGAACATCAAAGGGAGCAACCAGTCCCGATTCTTTTCCTCCATTAGGATTTTAACTTTCTTGAATTATAGCTGTTTTAGGGTCTAAAGTCCAACTGATACTGACCATAGAGATGTGTGGCATCTCACACTGGAAAGGGAGGAGGCTCCTGTCACCTCCATGGTGAACCTACTGTCCCACAGTCCTCCGAATCAGAGCCCATCCTGCCTTTAGGCCAGTAGTGATCAGATTTGAGTATAGGGGGAAGGCAGGTGGGTCACAAGGATGTGATGATTCATTTACAAAGATCGTGTTTTAAAGCTCTAAAAACCCATTTGGTGGTGGCAGTGGCAGTGAAGAGTACACTGTATTTTGCCAAGGAGGGGTCTTCTTATCTCCTGAGTCTTGGCCTTCCCAGGCCTTTATGATTGCTGCAGTTCTCGGTGGGAAGTGGAGGTGGGATGCTAACAGCAAGGGGTGTGAGGTCATCTGCAGAATGCACTGGACTGGCCACTATGGCTTGTATCACCGGCCTTCCTTTCTTTAGTCTAGACAAGCTTATTTCTTTATCTTTCCTCCTATGTTCTGCTAGTTCTAATATAAGGTTTAAAAGGACTATGAAATATGAAACTTCTCATTTTCTAGCTGAACAATGAAAAACGACCAAAAAAAAAAAAAAAATTCTTCCTCCAGTGAGCTATATCAAGTTTCCTCAGTTGAAAGCAAATGCCAAATGACTTTTAAAGACAAGTGCTGAACAATGCTGATTAACTGATGGAAGAAGTTCTGAGGCAAAATTGAACATGTATCAGAATCTAGAATATATACAAAAACCAAAATGCTTGTAATAGGGATTCTTCAACCCTTTAGTTTTACACTGATAACTACAAATGTATTCAACACCAGGCTATTGATGACAGTCAATTAAATATGGAATGAGAAACCTCAGAAAGTCTTGCCAGTCTGTGGCAGTTTCAATAGTCTACAGAGTTAGGAAAAAGGAGAAACCATAGGGTAAAGAATGATAGCATTGGAATTTTATTTAACTCTAGGTACCATGGGTTTGACATGAGTCGGTAAGACCAATGAATGAGCAGCCATACAGCTTTTTTGGTCACTGTGCTTCCCAAGCACCAAAAAATGGAGTTACTTTTACGATTCAGTTGTCTTTAATAAGCTAGACAGATCCTGCTGCATTCTTTGTTTCTAATTTACCAGTACATTGTTATGTAGTTTACTGTGTGTGAGGAGCAAGTCATTATGTAGTACCAAGTTTACGTCATCATAGGACTACAACATGCACATTCTACTTAATGTAGTTCAAGCAACAGGAGTACAAGAGAACAGTTATGGGTGGAGACTTGTTTTTGACAAAGTCATGTTCACATTAACCATGGGTTTAGAAATCTTATTAGGTAGGGTACCTACAGCAGTTCTTCAACTGGCATTGGAACATTACATGCATGCACGAGTGATATGGTAGAGGATGAAGCAGAAGAGGCAGCTGGATGGAGGACAGAGGGGAAATCGGAGCTGGGCAATGCTGGGTATCAGGGAGGGGCAGTTCTCAGCTTTCCACAGTAAGTCTCTGCTCTGTGAGAGAGGCCTGTTGGGAAACACTTTTGTTCTCATGACTGCGAAGTTTGGATACAACATCTAGAAAGGCCAAATCCTGCACTTCCTTGTGTAGAGATTCTGAAAGACAAAGCAAGATAACAAATATACTTCTGTTAGGCTGTCCTAATTTGATTACACAATCTTTCTAAAATATATACACAAATGCTTACTTTGATGAGACTGTGCTATAAATCTAGGAACAATTCTAGAAAAAGACATAGAGGTGGCCTAGCAATGTCTTTCTTAGGGATATATGATTAAAAAAAAAAAATCACCCTGGTGTGGTGGCTCATGCCTGTAATCCCAGCACTTTGGGAAGTGGAGGTGAGAGGATTGCCTAGCCCAGGGGTGTGATACCAGCCTGGCAAGACCTCATCTGTACAATAAATAAAAAAATTAGTCAGGCATGGTGGTATACACCTGTATTTCTGTCTACTTGGAAGTCTGAGGCAGAAGGATCACTTGATCCCAACAAGTTGAGGCTGTAGTGGCAGTGATCATGCCACTGCACTCCAGCCTTGGTGACAGCCTTACTCAGAGAGAGACTCTGACTTAAAAAAAAAAAAAAAAAAATCAGAAACTTAACTTGCCCCATTTTTTTAATTAAAAAAAATTTTTTTTTCAAGACAGGTTCCTGTTCTTAAGCACAGGCTGGAGTCAGTGGTGTGATCATAGCTCACTACAACCTCAAACTTCTGGGTTCAAGCAATCCTACTACCTCTGCTGCCTTGGCAGCTGGGACTTAGGCATGAGCCAGTGTCCAGCTACATGCTACATTTTTAAACAGATCAGATGTCAGTCTAAGGTTGATTAGAATGATGAATTATAATTAAACACAGCTAACTGTATGATCTCAAGACTCATGAAAAGAAATCAGTTCAAATATGAAGTCCAATGACATACTGAAAAGCTTTAGAATCTGTTTCAAAATAATTTTTGTGGCAAAAAAAAAGTTTACACTTCACATCCTTTCAACAAATTTGTGACATTGGGCTCCTGTTGAGATTTCCTATCCTCCTTTCTTTCTTTCTTTCTTTCTTTCTTTCTTTCTTTCTTTCTTCCTTTCTTTCTTTCTCTATTTAATCTCAATTACAGGAAAATATAGGACTCCTGTTAAGACTCTGAAAACTGCTATACGGAAGAGTTAGGTTTAATAAGCTTGATGTAACCAGCATTTCTCAAACTGATGTGCTTATTTAATAAGATAGGCATAAACCTAGAACAAATATTTTTAGTAGAAGTAGGAAATTCTATCCTAAAATACATATGTAATCTCCAGGGAAAAAACAATTTTCTAAAAGAACAGAAGGTCTTTAAAAAAATTGATTTAAAAAAAAAAAATCAGGCGGTTTCACACTTCCTGATCTTAAAACTTACTACAAGGCTACAATAATCAAAACAGTATAGTATGGTACACAGAACTCCTACAACTAAACAGACAAACAAAAAAATAATTTATGCATGCACAAGTGCTAGAGAATAAGTTTTTTAAATGCACAGAAGAACTGAATAGACATTTCTCCAAAGAAGGTGTAGAAATGATCAACAAGCCCAAAAAGATTCACAGCATCACTAATCATTACAGAAATGCAAGTCAAACAACAAAAATATGCTATCTCACACTCATTAGGATGGCTATTTTTTTTTTTAAAGAACATAAAATAATAAGTACTGGTGAGAATGTTGAGAAACTGGAACCCATGTGCATTGCTGGTACAATGTACAATGGTCTAGCCACTGTGAATAACAGTATGGCAGTTCCTCAAAAAATTAAACATTAAATTATCATATGATTCAGCAATTCTTCCATGTATATACCCAAAGGAATTGAAAGCAAGAGTTTGAAGAGAGATTTGAATACCAATGTTCAGAGTAGCATTACTCAATATTGACAAAAGTCAAAAGGTGGAAATAACCCAAATATGAATCAGTTAATAAATGAATAAACCAAATACCACATATACATACAATGGAACATTATTTAGCCCTTAAAAGGAATGAAATTCTGAAACATGCTACAGCACAGATAAGCCTTAAAGATATTCTAAGTGAAATAAGCTACACACAAAAGGACAAATAGTTTATCATTCCACATGTATTAGGTATCTAAAGTACTCAAATTCAGAGAAAAAAAATAAATGATGGTTGCCAGAAACTGGGGAGTGAGGAGAATGGGGAGTTATTGCTTAATGGGTACAGTTTCAGTTTAGAGAAACAAAGAAAAGATTCTGGAGATGAATGATAGTGATGGTTGCACAGTAATGTGAATGTCTTTAGTGCCACTAAACTGTATACTTTAAAATAGTAAATTTTACATTTTGTATACTTTACCACAATTTAAAAAATGTCTCAATAAACAATTATGAAACAAATGGAAAAAACAAAGTTTTAGCAAGGAAACAGAAGATATAAAGAAGCAAATGGAAAATTTTGAACTAAAAATTTTAACTGAAAAAAAACTCAGTAAAAGTTTAACATGAGAATGTAGGGGATAAAGGAAATAATCAGAGAACTTTAAGATGGAATCACAGAAATTACTCAATTTGTATAACAGAGAGATAATAAATTGGAAAACAAAAAACCTCAGGGAACTGTAAGAGCATAACTAAAGATCTCACTTTTGTGACAGCAGAGGCCTCGAGGGAAAGAACAGGGTGGGGCTAAAAAGTTTACTATCTGAAACAGATACCCTGAATAGACCAATACTGAGCAATGAAACTGAATCAGTAATTAAAAATCTTCCAACCAAAACAAAGTACAGAGCCAGATGGATTTATGGTCACATTTTATCAGATATATAAAGAAGAGCTGGTACCAAACCTATTGAAACTATTCCAGAAAACAGAGGAGGAAGGATGACTCTCTAACTCATTCTATGAAACCAATATGGCATTGATACCACAATCAGCCAAGGATACATCAAAAAAAGAAAACTCGGCCTACTTCCCTGATATAGATACAAAAATCCTTAATGAAATACTAGCAAACCAAACTCAACAGCATATCAAAACAAATGATAAAACATGACAAAGTGGGTTTTAGTCCAGAGATGTAAGGATGGTTCAATATCACAAATCAACAAATGTAATCCACCACATAAACAGAAGCAAAAATAAAACCCTAAGACCATCTCGATAGATGCAGAAAAAAAAGCATTCGACAAAATCCAACACCCTTTCATGATAAAAACCATTAACAAACTAGGCATCGAAGGAACCTATCTCAAAATAGTAAGAGCCATATGTAACAAACATCATACTTACTCAGGAAAAGTTGAAAATATTCCTCCTCAGAACAGAAGCAAGACAAGGATGTCCACTTTCACTACTCTTATTCAACATTACACTAGAAGTTCTAGGAAGAACAAGCTAGCAAGAGAAAGAAATAAAAGGCATCCAAATTGGCAAGGAGGAAGTCAAATTATCCCTGTTTGTGGATGATATGATTGTACAGCTAGAAAACTCTAGATCCCTCCAACAAGCTTCTAGACCTGATAAATGACTTCAGTAAAGTTTCGGAATATAAAATCAGTGCACAAAAATCTGTAGCATTTCTATACATCAAAAATGCTCAAGCCTAGAACCAAATCAAGAGCTTAATCAGAGATAACAGAAACAAATGGAAGAGCATCCCATGTTCATGGATTAAAAGAATCAATATTGTCAAAATGACGATATTGACCAAAGCAATCTATAGATTCAATGCAATCTCTATCAAAATACCAACTTTGTTCTTCACAGAAGTAGAAAAAACAATGTAAAAATTTATATGGAACCAAAAAAGAACCTGAATTGCCAAAGCAATTCTAAGCAAAAAGAACAATATGGAGACATTATACTGCTTGACTTCAAATTATTCTATAAGGCTACAGTAACTAAAACACAATTGTACAAGAATAGACAGACAGATCAATATACAGAATAGAGAACCCAGAAATAAAACCACAAACTACAACCAGTTGATCTTCAACAAAGCTGACAAAAATACACAATGGGGAAAGGACACTCTATTCAAATAAATGGTGCTAGGAAAATTAGCTAGCCATAGGTAGAAGAATAAATCTGGGCCTGGCTCGGTGGCTCAGCCTGTAATCCCAGCACTTTGGAAGGCCAAGGCAAGTGAATTGCCTGAGCCCGCGGGTTCGAGACCCGCCTGGGCAACTTGGCGAGACATCGTCTCTACAATAAATCAAAAACTAGCCAGGCATGGTAGCACGCGCCTGTAGTTCTGGCTACTTGGAAGGCTGAGGCGGAAGGATCGCTGGAGCCCAGCAGGTCGAGGCTGCGGTGGCTGGGAGCATGCCACTGCACTCCAGTCTGGGTGACGGAGTGAGACTCCAACTCAAAACAAAAAAAAGAAGAGGAAATCTGGACCTCTATCTCTCACCATATACAAAAATAAACTCAAGATGGATTAAAGACTTAAATGTAAGACCTGAAACTACAAAAATCCTAGAAAAAAACATAGAAACACTCTTCTGGACGCTGGCCTAGGTAAAGAATTTATGATGAAGACCCCCAAAAGCAACTGCAATAAAAATAAAAATAGACACATAAGACTTAAACTAAAATGCGTAGGCATAGCAAAAGAAATCATTAACAGAATGAACAGAAAGCCTATTGAAAGGGAGAAAATATTTGCAAATTATACCACAGACCAAGGGCTAATTCCAGAGTCCATAAGGAACTCAAACAACTCAACATGAAAAAAAAACCCCATTAAAAAGTGGGCACAGGACATGAAAAGACACTTCTCAAAATAAGACACACAGGTGGCCAACAAACATAAGAAAAAACGCTTAACATCACTCATCATCAGAAAAATGTCAATTAAAACCACAATGATATATCACCTCACACCAATCAGAACGGCTATTATTGGAAAGTCAAAGAACAACAGATGCTGGTGCAGTTACGAAGAAAAGGGAATGCTCATTGACTGTTGGTGGGATTGAAAACTAGTCTGACCTCTGTGAAAAACAGTATGGGGATTTCTCAAAGAACTGAAAATTGATTTACCACTTGACTCAGCAATCTCACTACTAGGGATCTACCCAAGAGGGGGTGGGAGTCAATATATAAAAAAAGATACTTGCACTCGACTGCTCATTCCCTCACTATTCACAATAGCAAAATCTTAGAACCAGCATAAGGACCCATATCAACAATTGACTAGATAAAGAAAATGTGTATATATATTATGAGGAATACTACACAGCCATGTAAACTAATGTCCATTGGAGCAACAAGGATAGAGATGGAAAAAATCAAACACCACATCTTCTCACTTAAATGCAGGAGCTAAATGGCCACAAAGATGGAAGTAATAGACACTGGAGATATCGGTAAGGGTAGTGGGAAGAGAGGGATTAGGGTTCAGAAATTACCTGTTGGATACAATGTTCACTATCTGGGGAACGGGCCACCAGAGACCCAATTCCCACCACTACACAATATGTCCATGTAACAAACATGCATGTGTACCTGAGTCTACAATAAAACATGCATGTGCCTAAGTCTACAATAAAACTGGGAAAAAATAATACTATCTACTGAACAGTAGTGTGGCTATAGAAAATAATGTCTTATACATTTGAAGATAGCTAGAAGATAGCTGAATGTTATCATCACAAAGAAATTATAAATGTTTAAAGTAATGGAGAATAAAAAGCAATCCTACATCCTTCATAAGCTAATTTCTTTCTTTCTTTTTTTTTTGAGTTGGAGTCTCACTCTGTCACCCAGACTGGAGTGCAGTGGCCGCTCCTGGCCACTGCAGCATCGACCTGCTGGGCTCCGGCGATCCTTCCGCCTCAGCCTTCCAAGTAGCCAGAACTACAGGCGTGCGCTACCTCGCCCCGCTAATTTTTTATTTATCGTAGAGATGAGGTCTCGCCAAGTTGCCCAGGTGGGTCTCGAACCCGCGGGCTCAGGTAATCTACTCACCTCAACCTCCCCAAGCGCGGGATTACAGACTGAGCCACCGAGCCCAGCTCATAAGCTAATTTCTAATGCTTTTAAAACCCACAACCATCATTTACTATTATCCTATATTTAATATGTAACATCAGCCATATGTTGACAGACATCAAATGACCTAAGAAATACTTACCAGATCCCATGAGAGCACAGATCAGGACCATGGAATTATATTTGATTTCAGGAGCACTTCTCTCATCTGCTAGCAGTCTGTGTAAAATCTGTACAAGTTTAGCACTTTCTAAATCTTTCTCAGCAGTGCCTAAAAAAAGTGTAACAAAGTATAAGTTATATCTGCTGTGTACGAACCCAATATCCTCAGGTTAAACACTGCTTCCTTTTCTAGAAACTAACCAGGTGAACCTTCCAAAAGGGACTGATAAATAATAAAGACCCAAATAAATATTACATTCAGACTCTGTAAAAAGAGTAACTAGAACTTGGTTTCAGTAGACATTTCAGGTATCTAGGCTTAATAATAAATACTAAAACCTTCCTTTTAAGCTAAGGCAACTTTAAACAACCTATGGAAAATATTAAATGTATACAAAAGCTGAAAAGATGGTATAATGATACACAATACGTACTATCACCATCTTCAGGAATTATCAACTTGTCTCATACCTACTCTTACCCATCTCCAATTATTTTGGAGCAAGTCTATAAATCACATATAAATATTTCAGAATGTACCTCTAAAAGATAAGGACTCAATGTAATTCCTACCAAAATCCTAGCAAGATTTTCTGTAAAAGATATACAAGCTTATGCTTAAATTTATATGGAAGCCTCAGAGCTGAGAAGAGTAAAACAATCTTGATATAAAGAAGAATAAAGTGGAAGGAATTCCTCTTTAATATTTAGGCTTATTATTTAGCTACAATCATCAAGATAGTGTGGTATTATTGGTAGTAGGATAAACAGACACTTATATCAAAGGCACCGAATAGAAGACCCAGAAATAGACCCACATATATATGCTCAACTGATTTTTGACAAAGGTACAAAATCAATTCAATGAAGACAGCTTTTCCCACAAATCATGCTGGAGCGGTCAGACATTGATAGAACAAAAAATGAGCTCTGACCCAAACCTCATACCTTATACTGATATTAACTCAAAATGACTTACAGACTTAAATTTATCTTATTTTATTTTATTTTCACTTTTTATTTCTGTAGAGACGAGGACTCACCAAGGTGCCTGATCTAGTCTCAAATCTGCGGGCTCAGGCAATTCACTAGCCTCAGCCTTGCAAAGTGCTGGGATTACAGGCTGAGCCACTGAGCCCAGCCTAGACTTAAATTTAAAATGTAAAACAATAAAGGTTTTATAATATATAAAGAACTCTCAAAACTCAATAATAAAAAAATATTAAATGGGCAAAAGACAAAAAATGGCATTTCACCAAAGAATATACAGATGACCCTTGAACAACATGCGTTTCAACTGTGTGGGTTCACTTATACCTGGATTTATGATGATCTACTTCCACTTAACAAATTATATTTTCTCTTCCTTATGACTTTCTTAATAAAATGTTGTTCTAGCTTATTTTATTCTAAGAATAGAAAACAGGAACTCATCAAACTGACAAGCTTCTGTAAGAGCAGGAAGACAGCCCACAGACTGGGACAAAATTTTTGCCAACTGTATATCTGACAAAGACCTAATATCTAGGATCTACAAGGAACTCAAACGCGCTGAGAAGGAAAAAAAAACCAGCCTCATTACAAAGTGAGTAAAAGGTATCAATAGACACTTCTCAAGAAAACATATGAGCAGCCAACAGATACATGAAAAAACGCTCAGCCTCACTAGTCATCAAAGAAATGCAAATTAAAACCACACTGAGGTACCACCTACTCCAGTCAGGATGGCCATCATCAATAACTCAAAAAACAACAGATGTTGGAAAGGATGCGGGGGAAAAGGAACACTTCTACATTGTTGGTTTAAGTGTAAACTAATACAACCTCTGTGGAAAACAGTTTGGCGATTCCTAAAAGATCTAAAAATCAACCTTCCATACAACACCACAATGCCCCTACTGGAAATATACCTGGAGGAAACTCAAATTACTCTATGAAAAAGACACCTGCACACGCATGTTTATTGCAGCATTACTTACAATAGCAAAAACATGGAACGAACCATGCTGCTCACTGAAAGAGGACTGGATAAAAAAAAAGTGGTACATATACATGATGAAATATATCACAGCTATAAAAAAGGACAAAATTATGAACCTCAGAGCAACTTGGATGGACTTACAGTCTATAATACTGAGTGATCTATCACAGAAAGAACTGAGTACCACATGTTCTCACTGATAAGCAGAACTTGAACAATTATCATAACACTAAAAGAAAGGTATTGACAGTAGTGGGAAACTGCCAGGGGAGGGAGGGGGCACACCTCATTAACAAGGGTACCTGCATAATGAACATTTGTATACCTAACCCTGAATTGTACTCAACATCTTTAAAATATTTAAAAATTTTTAAAAAAATACAAAACATAATACATAGAACATACAAAATATGTACTAATCGACTGTTTATGTTACTGGTAATACCAACAATAGGTTATTAGTAGTTAAGCTTTTGGGGAGTCGGAAGTCACATGTGGATTTTCAACAATGTTGTTCAAGGGTCAAATGTAGACAGATGGCCCATAAACACATAAAGATGCTCAGAATCATTAGCCATTAAGGAGATTATTAAAACAAGATGAGGTATCACTACATTGCTGTCAGAATGGCTAAGATAAAAAACGGTGACAAAATCAAATGCTGCCAAGGATGCAGAGAAAACTGGATTACTCATCCAGTGCTAGTGGGAACACAACATCGTATAGCCACTCTGGAAAATAGTTTGACGGTTTCTTTAAAAACTAAACATGCAACCATCATACAACCCAGAATTGTACTCCTAGCATTTATCCAGATAAATAAACATTTATGTTAACACAAAAACCTGTAACCAAATGATCACAGTAGCTTTACATTTTAAAGCCCCAAAATGGAATCAGCTCAGAAGGTCCTTCACAGGTAATGTGATTAAACAAAATGTGATAAATACATAATATGGAATACTATTAAGCAATAGACAGGCATAAACTACTGATACACAAAATATTTCTTAAATGGTTCTTAGGAAATTATCCTGAGGAGGAGAAGAAAAAAAAAAAAGCCAATCCTAACAGGTCATATACTATATGATCCAATTTATGTAACACTTTTGAAATGACAAAATTTTAGAAATGAAGAGCAAATGGGCCAGGCATGGTGGCTCATGCCTATAATCTGAGTGGCGTGAGGTGACAGGACTGCTGAAGCCCACAGGGTCAAGACCAGCCTGGGCAACTTGGTGAGCCCTCATCTCTACAATAAATCAAAAAATTAGCCGGATGCGGTGGTGCATGCCTGTAGTTCCAGCTACTTGGAAAGCTGAGGCAGAAAATCTCCTGAGCTCAGCAGGTCGAGGCTGTGGTGGCCGTGAGCATGCCACTGCACTCCAGCCTAGGCGACAGAGTGAGACTCCAACTCAAAAAAAAAAGAGCAGAATAGTGGTTTCTAGGGGTTAGGAGAAAGGTAGGATGAGGTGGATGTGTTTTAAATGGACAACAGGAGAGAACCTTGTGGTGTTAGAACTGTTCAGTATTCACTGTGGTGACAGATACACAAACCTACACAAGTAATAAAACTACACAGAATTCACCATATATGCAAATGAGTGCAAATAAAATTAGGGAAATCTGAATAAGATAGGTGAGTTAGATATATGGTTCAGAGATACTACAGTTTTGCAAAATGTTACCCTTGGGACAGAGTATGCAAGGGATCACTCTATCTTATTTTTCACAACTACATAAGGATCTACAATTATCTTAAGAAAAGATAAGGACTCTTAAAAATTCTGTTTTAATACTAATACCATAGGAACATTTACAATGATAATGACTTAATAATATAATAGCCTATAAGGATACTAGACTAGAGAATATGGTTTTCCAAGGTATGTTGTATTAAAAAAAAAATAGTAAGGAAACAATAGACTGAAGAAAAAACCTGTTAAATAGGAGAAGATATTTGGAAACTAATTACCTGACAAGAAACTAAATATCCAGACTATAAAAGAAACTTAAATAACTCAATAATTAAAAAAAAATTAAAAAGTGGGCAAAGGCCATGAAGAGACAGTTCTCAAAAGACATAAAAATGACCAGCAGATATATGGAAAAAATGTTCAATATCACTAATGACCAGGAAAATGCAAATCAAAACCATAATGAGATATCATCTTACCCCAGTTAGAAGGCTGTTATTAAAAAGACAAAAAATAAAGCTGGTGAGGATGAGGAGAAAAGGGAATTCTTTTTTTTTTTTTGAGTTGGAGTCTCACTCTGTCACCCAGACTGGAGCGCAGTGGCC